ATCCTTATTCCCCTTCGGAACCGCTTTTGAATTACTTAGGGAAGGGTCTGTTTTACATTAGCATTTCAAGCCATGCTCCTGAGATTTTCTGTCTGCGACCAGACCTCCACTTTTTCACCTCCATATTTATTAGGCCAGTGTCTGCTTGTCCTTTCTAGGTTAAATTTCTTCGCTTTGAGGACTTGAATCAAATATGACTGTATCGTATGGCAATTCTCTAGTTTCGCACTCATCTTTTCCACTACATTATCGGGATTTATAACTAAAATCTGTTCTCTTATTGTCTTATATGTCTTATGTTGAGGTTTTTTCGAGTTAGTGCAACTGGGCACTTTTACTCTTTGGTAGCTGAGGGGTTTCTACAGAATGCCTCCCTTCTCTTTCACTAATTTATGTATTCCTTACAAGCTTCACTGATTATTCGATGACAGATCTAAGATCTGCCTACCGCACCGTCAGCTAGTTACTACTCTAAGATTAGATAGTGCTATGTTAGACAACCTGTCAGTTTTCGCGTATAGCTGCAGGGCTCCGTCTCTTATGTATTTTTTGACCGGATATATTCTGAAAGCTCTTAGCATGTCTTCACCTCAGCATTCTCGAATTGTAATTGATGTGACTGTAGTACCTTTCAGTAATTTGTTGACAGCTTGGCTATCAGAGACTATTGAGATTTTTTCAACAGAAATCTGATTACCAACAGTCCAGATCTAGCTCTCTATCGTTAATGTTTCAACAAACCCTAAGTAAGTAGAAAGCACTCAGTCATTTCGAAGCGTCGAAGAGGTGAAGAGTCTTTCTCCTGACTCTATGTAAAGCTTGGTCAACTGTCACCTCAAGCAGAACCAAATTATTTAAACGTGCTAACAGTTGATTTATGATCTATACTACGAAAGAAAGAAGAGTAAGGAGAGTATTTCCGAATTGATATGGATGAACTAGATCTTTCGTTTAATGATAATTATTTTTATATATATTAACCGATTTGCTTCTTAAGATTTGTAATTGGATATAATATTATCTTGTATACTTGTAGTATTAAAAAGAATTATTCTTTTATATACAAATTGATAACAATTTATTTATTTTTTGAATTTTTTGGAGTTTTATAGTATCGAAATTAGTAATAGCTTTATAGGATTTTGCCATAACATTTCATTCATTACATTCTAGTAAATCTTATAATAAAGTATGCAAATTAAAACAAACCGCTATTATAGTCTTAAGTGTAAATAATTATATCTAATCGAATAGTTAAAAATTAGAGAAATTATGATAATTATCTGCAATTTAATATCTAATTTTTTTTCAGTGAATAGAATAATTCTCTTGAGTAAAAAAATTTAAAAACCAATATTAAAAAAGTTATATATTATATTAAATAAATTTATTTCTAGCAAATTCTTTCGAAATTAAACTTTGATGAAAAAATGACCATGTATATAAATTATTATATATTTTAGATTAATTTTTTTAGTTATCTATTGGTCTATAGAGCAGTGACATTTCAGTTAATAACAGTCACAAGTTGAACAATTTATTGGAATCTAGTCTCCAATGCTATTATGCTATTTCATTAAGCGTTTTTTGTTACCATAGCTTAAAGCCTCTTTGTTAAATTTATAACATCAGTATTGAAAAGTTCAAAGTGTAGTCATATTTTAAAGAAATTCAGTTATTCAAAGTAATTAACCTACAAATAATTACCTGTTAGAACTTTTTTCTTTATAAGTAAATCAGGTTTTTCTTGATATATCTGATGTCAAATATCCTACCTCTGCACGCAATCCAGTGTCAAATGTTATTTTTATAAAATTTTCCTTTAGAAATATTACCTTAATTAACACAGTTTCGCGATTCTAACTAAAATTTATTACAAAAATTTTTAAACTCAATTATTTTTGCTCTGAATTCAAATGGAGCCATTAAAAAGCTACTAGAAATCTCTTGGCAGCTCCTCTGAAATTGCAAAATAAATTCAGCGAGACCATTAAGACTAATTAAACATGCTTGAACGCTTGCCTATCTTAATACCTCTCAGCGAGCATAGATACGTGCCCGGGTTGTTAATGCCCTAGAGTCAATAGTTCGATTGTAAGAGCACAACAAAAGCCAAACGAACAAAGAATAAAATTAAGTGCCATGCAAAATCAAGCAATAGAAAATCCGCCTTAAGAGTAGATGGAGTACATACCTTTGTCTGATATCTGCAAAAAGATTTTGACCAATTTACGTCATGTTGGCTCATAAAATTTATGCAAAATTTAGAAAAAAATTTTAAAAAAAGTGAAAAAATGAAGAAAAAAGGAAGCATAAATATTATTTATGGTTTTTATTGACCAATTTTTTCTTGCAACGGGCTTACCGCTTCTAGATTGTTAATTCAATATTTCTGCGATGTTTTAGTCAAACATACTAGATACTTTTTTCAGTGCGGATTTTAGCAAATATTAACAAGGTTACTCAGCGAATAAAACAAAACTGTCGACTTCAAGATATTACCATGTGAATCTTCAAATCTTCAGCAGCGTTTTGTTGGCCTGGTCAGTTACACTAATGAGCGACGCAGCTAAACTGTGGGAGTTGCTACTTCCCCTTTTTGGTTAGATTGGCTTGAATTATGAAGCGATTGTTCAAACGAATTCAAGTGAAGCGAGAGACTTTGGAAAAAAACTCTACGCTTTTCACACGTTAAATTTTTTCGCCTTAATTTTTATCACAAAGGAAAGAAGTTTGGGATTTTAGTATAAAAGTTAAAATTGCTACTACTTTTGACACAGTTTCTATTTTGCAACCAGTTTAATTGGAGTAACACATTTTGGATAACGCAAGAAATATTTTTACTTAAAATGCTGAAAGGTGTAAGATACTCCATACCAACAGTCTCAAAGTGAAAAAATTAATTAAACCAAATTCTTAATTTTAGTCAATTCTGTTGCTTTGTTTGGCTGCTTCTTGCTTAGCACGTCCTAGTTTGGTGCACTCTCCGATATTGCCTACTTATGAGCATGTGGAATATACCCCAACAATCATTGGACACACAGTCTCCAGCATACCAACAGCCGTTTCACATCAAAGTCAAACCATAGTACATGAAAAGCGTCCATATTTACGTCCCATTGTGGAACATACTCCCATTGTGAAGACATATGCGCCTGCTACGACTTTAGCTCTGCCCGTATCATACGCACCGATCACTTACTCTTCAGACATATATGATCATGGCTGGACTCCAAGTTATGGCTCAGTTTATGGCGGTTGGAGTGGTTGGCCACTTAAATAAATGTGTTTACGAAACTAAAGTGATATATTGGAACGAATTTATTAAACTATAAAAGTGGAACTTAAAACTGACCTACGAAAATAAATATTACAGCAGATGTGTTTTCTGAAGTTTGTAGTTTTGTATTCTTTATGACAGTTTGCAAAATAATTTTTTTTTTGTTAAGTCAACTATGCATATTAAGATGGCTTCGTTTTTTTATTAGCTGGTAAAAGTGGTAAAAAGTGAAAAGTACAGTGCTGTTATATTAACTAGCAAAAATGATAGAAAATGTTGGTGCAGTGTTAGTCAATGAAATAATTTCATAAATCTCCATTTCTGCTATGAAAAAAAATTATTTAGTACTAATTTAATTTCCCACGGTCAAAATCGACTTTAAAAGTAAATGGGGTACAAAAGGGAAGATTACAATGGATATCGTTTATTCAATTGCCAGAGACGTTCACATTCTCATTCACACTTTCAACACTGGCAACAAAAAGTTGTTCTTAATTTTTCTGTAACCTCTGAAGAAAATTGATGGATTAGTATACGACTTTTTACCATCAGTTTTAATTCTAGACAGAAATTCTACCCTAATATTGCCTTACTTAAACCAATTTCATTTTTCCACCAAAATCAACAATCGCAATATTCATTGTGTACAAAATTTTTTTATGCTTCAATCTTAATATAATACTCCCATTTTTCAAATATAGTCCAACGTAATGCCCATAACCACCTCTTAACCTTTATATACTCCGACTACCCAACACCATAAGGTGTATTTTTTCGAAGTTTTTTTTATTACTAATATCTTTTAACCATACAGATTGGTTCTTATCAACCTCTTACTATTTAATGTTGCACACCATACCTATATAGATACCTTATAACCGTAAACCTTAACTTATTATGATTCAACACTTCACGGCTTTTTTAAACACTTCACGGTTCTTGTAAACTCTATATCTCAAAACATATAAAGTTGACCTATGAAAAAAATTATTAAATATAATTTTGTTAGTATAAGCACCTAATAATTTTCAAGATCTCAAAGTATGATTTAAAAAAATATTTAAAAAAATAATTTAGCCCTGAACATTTGATTCTTATCTAAAACAAATAAATTAAAAAAGGGTTTTATATCTAATGAAAGATACTAACTCTTACTCTGTGCATAAGGTATCTGTAATACTCACATTGATATCAGGTAGATGATTTTTGTAATTAGAAAGGATAATACTAAATATGTAAATGCAGTAAATATTCAACTACATTTTAATATCAAATAAATAACTGAAGAATATATTAACTTTACGATTTGTGACCCTATAATTTTGGTCTCAATACAGATCAAGTCTCTTTGGAGGAATAGAGTTTTACGTTTTAGTAACTCACAGAAATTTAACAGCCATCATATCAGTGCGCACTATCATATGTTACTTAATATATTAGAATAAAACAGTCTCCACAGGATGGCCGAGCACTAATATGCTCTAGGTTGATACCGTATTCTCAGACAAAAAGATTATCTAAACAGCCAGTGCCATAAAAATACGTAAAAGGACAGAACATCGGACCTTAAACTCTAACACAGCCTTCATTATATAAAACACTTTAATTCGCAACATTATTCACAGTTGTCATATCTATAAAACAAATATTTAAAAACTCAACCAAAATTCGTTTTAATTTAATTAAATAATTTAATAATTTATTTTTTTCATAAGTCAACAACGTTCCATCAAAATTTTTAATTAATTTCGTTTGTTCAAAATATACAAAATCTTTTGTTCTTCACATCCGTTCAATTACCAAGCTGAGTAGTGAGCAGGAGCTGCATAGGTCAAGTGTGAACTAGCATATGATACTGGGGCGGCATAGGTTTTCAATACTGGAGCAGCAGCATATGTTGCAATTGGTGCAGCATAAGAGTGCACTACTGGAGCAGCGTATGATTTAACAATTGGAGCTGCAGCATAAGTTTGTACAACGGGAGCGGCAATGGTCTTTACAACCGGTGCAGCATATGTGGTCTTCACAACTGGAGCTACAACATCTTCAACAACATGTGCGGAGCTGTGTACAATGGATTGGCTTTGGTGAGAGACGGCAGTTGGTATGCTCTTGACAACAGCTCCTACTTTGGCATAGGCGGGTTCATGTACGGCAACAGCAGCAGGTGCTGAATAGACGACTGGAGATTCGATGAAACCAGGACGTGCAGCAGCAATGGCGAAGAGGGCAGCAAGAACAAACTGTTTGAAGAGTTGGACGTTAATACTATATGGTAATGCAGAATATTCAAGTGTGAACTTACCAATTTGTACATTTTGTAGGATTTTTAGTTTTGTAACGTTTTTTGACTTATGATGGCTTGTGTGGCTTCAAAAGCGTATTGATAACTTGTCTCTGCGTACCTGTTGCTTTTATAGTTAAAATTAAAGTATTTGTACTATTTTCCAAATTACTCATTACCATTCCGAAATATTTCGGTTCTCGTCATTACGTGTCTCAGATCAGATTTTTGCACTGATATTTGCTGTTTTCGTTAGTTTCGCTCTCGTTCGGTTGTCAAAAGAAGGCAAACAAAGGCATTAAAAATGTGAAACGGAGTTAAACCCACTCTTATTTTCATTTCGTCAAGCTCATTACGTCTGCGAGGTTAAAGCAACTGCCGCGTATGAGCGCGGCTTCAATTATTTGCTTACCAAGGCACGGGCATTGACGTGTTTCTGCTAAACAATTCAACGCCTTGAGGTGCTGCGTATATCGCCGCAAGTCTGAGTAGTAAAGATCATTTTTTAGAATTAATTTGCAGAAGCAAAAAATATGAAATAAAAAAATGAATCAAGCAATAATAGTAACAATAATAAAATTATGAACTGGAAATAACGTAATTGAGGTAATTCCTCACGTGTGCGGCTTTTAACTGTTTTTGGCTTGAACCAAAAGCGGAATTGGAATCGGTGCGGATCTAGAAGTTTTGGCTGTTCTAACACGAAAATGATTGATGATTTAATAGGAAATTGTTGGTCCGCATATATCATAAGAGAAAGAGATTGCTTGGAATTTTTAATTAACTTTTTCAATTTACATTAATTATGTATTGGTAATGATAGCATTTTTAGTATGTTTTGTACTTTAATTAATTTAAGTACAAAATTTATTATTTTCAACACCATTGATTTGTAAAATTAGTTTAACTTAAATTAAAACATTTTTGTTTGCTAAGGAAATTTGAACTTGATACACCCAAAGTCTAACCTGTTTCTCATTTAGACAACAAAAGACCAATGCCGCGGCTGGCGATGTTTGCTCATAAGCCACGAACTTTTAAGACTCGCGAGAATGAAAACACTTAAAAGTGGTAATGAAAATAATTAAACTAAGTCCGCAGTAAAAGCCTAAAATATTAACTATAAAAGCAACAGGCACGCAGAGGCAAGTTATCAATACGCTTTTGAAGCCACACAAGCCATCATAAGTCAAAAAACGTTACAAAACTAAAAATCCTACAAAATGTACAAATTGGTAAGTTCACAGTTGAATATTCTACATTACCATATATCATTATTGTCCAACTCTTCAAACAGTTTGTTCTTGCTGCCCTCTTCGCCATTGCTGCTGCACGTCCTGGTTTCATCGAATCTCCAGTCGTCTATTCAGCACCTGCTACTGTTGCCGTACATGAACCCGCCTATGCCAAAGTAGGAGCTGTTGTCAAGAGCATACCAACTGCCGTCTCTCACCAAAGCCAATCGATCGTACACAGCTCCGCACATGTTGTTGAAGATGTTGTAGCTCCAGTTGTGAAGACCACATATGCTGCACCAGTTGTAAAGACCATTGCCGCTCCCATTGTACAAACTTATGCTGCAGCTCCAATTGTTAAATCATACGCTGCTCCAGTAGTGCACTCTTATGCTGCACCAATTGCAACATATGCTGCTGCTCCAGCATTGAAAACCTATGCCGCCCCAGTATCATATGCTAGTTCACACTTGACCTATGCAGCTCCTGCTCACTACTCAGCTTGGTAATTAAACAGATGTGAAGAACAAAAGATTTTGTATATTTTGAACGAACGAAATTAATTAAAAATTTTGATGGAACGCTGTTGACTTATGAAAAAATAAATTATTAAATTATTTAATTAAATTAAAAGAAAATTAGCAAAAAATTTTTAATTCATAATGGTTTTAGTTATAAAAATTTAGCAGAATATCAATTTTTTTTTTGAAAATGGTCGTCAAAAACATTTGGAAGACAATTGAAACAAACATTAAAAACCTTAGCTTTCTATAACAGTAGGTAAAATTTTATCTACTCTTGTAAATAGGTATTCTTGCCCTTGTAGAAAGAAAAAGCACCGTGATAAACTGTCATTTTTCGTTGAGATTGAAATTTGATACTATTGCATTAGATTAAATATTTCGACTGCAAGAATTAGGTAAATGTAGATAGGCTTTATTCTTGTTAATGCGATTTTGTTCAAACGAATTATCTATAAGTTTATATTTATGCATGATGTTTAAGACTATAGCGAGAGAAATTGAAGAAATAATGTCCTTTCCAAAGAAATAGAAACAATATGCAGAAGTTAAAGTATAATGTGTCCGAAAATGTATCAATCAAAAAGCTTTTATATAACAATTTATAGTTCACTATATATCGCTTAGTTTGTCATTAGATATATTAAAGCCAAAGAAAGCTGTCTATGTCTAGAGAGAAAAAAAAAAAATAAGGAAAACAACAAAAAAATAAAACATTTGAGTAATTAAATTAAATGACCTATTCCAATATTCAGAACAGATAAAAACTTAAATTAATTGAAATAATTACATTTTTATTATTTGCATTATATCTACTATATTAATTTGATCTATATATTTTTGTATTTAACTGGGTTCGGAAATTTGATTATGCAAATTTGATTTGAAAATTTACAACCCAGATAAACAATGATAAAAAAGTAGAGGACATAAAATTTTTGAACTGTCCCGATATAATGTGTTCCACCATTTATTGCCGTAAAATATCTCTATTTTAAATGCATTATTTAATTTAGGATTCTCTCATCTATTCTCATTGTAATATTCGTGAAAGGCAAGAAAATAGTTTCGAAAATATAATGGCTGCTCAAGCCAGAAAGCGAAGAGAAGACGGAACAATTGTCGAGAACATATTGGTCAGAGAACTCCACTATTGCTCTAATTACTCTTATGAACAAATTTTTATTTGTGGTAAATTAAAGACATAAGAATTTAGGAATTGCAAATATAAATTTTTTAAGTATAAGAAACTATTGCAAAGGAACGCCAATTTATTGTTATATTGTCGGATGTAAGAATGACTTAAATCGGCAATAATTTACAGCCGAACTTGTCAGAATACGATAAATCAATTTTTATAATAATTTTTTTCATCTTAATTGATTTTAAATAACCTATTACTATCAAATTTAGTTAAACTTAAAGTGGAAGTAAAGGTATTAATTATGTGAAGACTGTGTTGTGCTCAATCATTAAGTTTTAATTCTAAGCCTCAATCTAATATATTTTCAAATATTTAAACAATACATTGCAACTCCACTTTTTGTGTTGATCTTCACATTAACATAAAAACTGATATTCTAATGAAACAACTTTTAAATAATTGATGATCGTAACATAATACCTGCACAATTAAAGATAGATTATAAAGAGCAAAGTATTTAGATAACTAAGTGTATTGTTCCATTGCATTCACCTCAATACATTTTCGTTTGCTGCTACCGCTAAATAATTTTTTATTAAAAGATACATAAATAAACATTATTTAATAATTAGCAGCTGATTAATTTGTGTTTGGATCGCGTCTTGAGTAACAATAAACCATAGCGATTGTAAAATCCTATACATCCATGAAAAAAACTATTCGCTTGACGACTGCAACAACTCATCTGTACTGAATTGAAAATCCATTCAACCGTCAAACGCACGAATTTTTATGATTTAAGATAGTCGGAAATGATTTACTTTACGCAGCTCCAATTACAACGAAAGTTCTGAATCGTTGCTCTAACCGATCTGCATACAAGGTCATCTGAGGTTTCCACTTGCAATATATCGAATGCACTTTCAGTATAAAAGCATTTGTCAACTTATAATTTAACATCAGTTCACAATTAAATTAAGTCAATACAGACCTACTAACAAAACCTAATATGTTCAAGTTGGTAAGAGCTCAGATAAAGGACTACTGAGCTACTACTTAAGTACCAACAAAACTAATATGTTTTCTTCCAGGTGGTATTGTCCGCTTTGCTAGCCGTAGCTGCTGCCCGTCCTGGCTTTATCGACTCTCCTTTGGTATTGTCTGCTCCAGCTTCTATAGCTGTACAAGAACCAACTTTGGCCAAAGTCGGTTCCGTTGTCAAGAATATACCAACTGCTGTCTCACACCAAAGTCAATCTATTGTACATAGCTCAGCCAATGTTGTCGAAGATATACTTGCTCCTGCTGTCAGAACTACACTTACCGCCGCTCCAATCATCAGAACTATAGCTGCTCCTGCTCCTATTATTAAAACTATTGCCGCTCCTGCTTCTTACTTGCATGCTTCATATGCTGCCGGACCTTTGTCTTATGCTGCCGCCTCACCACTTGGCTATTCTTCTGGTATTTGGTAAATCTCAATTCGGGTTAGCTGGACCGCATTTATTTATTTTTAGTTTGCTTTTTCAAAATTTTTAAATGTTTTTGATTTTAGTGAATTTATTTAATAAAAAAGTATTGAAAATGTGAATATTATTTCTTTTTACATTCGGAATAGACTTAAAATGTATAAAACATATACTCATATTATGTAGGGTAGTTTTTTTTTAAGTCAAAATATGTTAAATGTAATTCTTTCAGTCAAAATTAAATACACATCACAGAAGGGTTAGAGATGAGCACTTTGATGTTCGAGTAGTTTTGCGCTTAAATGTTTGTTGTGGTACGTATTTGTAAATAACATAAACAAAATGTTATATATAGCTCGAAAATCATTAAGGAGGTTGAGTATCATCGATTACCTCGTAGATCATCGAGCAACTCAAATATAACCGAACAGCTACAACATCACCGAACAGCTAAAATATCATCAAACCGCTAGAACATTATCAAGTAGCTCGCACCTCATTGAACTACTCTAAAAACATCAAACATCTTGAATATCGAGCACCTTATAACTTATCGAGCAACTCAAATACAACCGAACAGCTAAAACATCATCCAGCCGCTAGAATATCACCGAACTACTAGAACATTATCAAGAAGCTCGAATATCATCGAGAAGCTCTAAATTTATTAAGCATCAACCAGTTGCTCGAATATCATTTAATAGACCGGAGATCATCGAGCAGTGCGAACAGCATTAAGCAGCTTGAAAAACATTAATCAACTCGAATATCGTCCTTCAACTCCCACATCTTCTTAAATCTTAAACTTAAACATGATTAATCAACAACCATTCTCGAGTATTTGAAGTGTTGAAGTGTTTGATTCAAATATCCAAATTCGAGTGTAACACTGCTTCAGCATTTAAAAGCAGTACTTGGCATATTGAAAAAGACCTACAAGAAATTATTTAAATAGAAGCGATAGAGTAAATTCTAAAATCCTTTTCTTCTGTAACAAGTTTATTCAATCAAAAATATATGTAAGTAAGACCACAACTATTTTTATCATAGATGAGATTAATTGAAATGAGTTACATAATAAAACTGGACTTGCAAACAATAAGCAACACCAGAAACTCGAAGTAGACGTATAGATTTAGACGGATAAGAGAGATATCAGGTGTGGGTCGGATCGTTATCCTACAAACGATATTAACCTTGACTTGCCCTGTTAAAATATCCCACATACTTTTTCCTTTCACTGCGTATTATTGTTTTAATTTTAAATACTAATTGGAAGACTTCCTAGAATCTTAGTTAAGGCCCCACTGTTTGTTCTTTCTATTAAAACTAATTTACATATTTTCAATTAATTCAATAATGGACTTTCTAGTATAATATAATATTCCCTTAGTATCTCAGAATTACGCATAATTTTACGATATTTTTATTTGCTTCCACTGTCATAAAGTAGTGAACGGCCGTGAACTTGAACCACATTTAATTTAAAGCCATAAGCGCTAAATGTAAGACGTGCAGAAATTTCCTTACCCACTCAATTGAAAAATTTATAAACAATTTTCAAGTAGAAGACAAAAACAAAGAATATTAATGTATCTCATAGATACGTAGTTGTAAGTTGAATTGAAAGGCGATAATTACGAAATGAACATCAATAACCACCATTGGAATAACTTTACAGTTAAGCAAAAGTCAATAACCCGGAAACACAAGGGTGTGTATAATTCATTGGAAGTTCTTTACTGAAACCTGACAAGTGGCTTTTGCTTTAAAATAATTTTAAACTTCACGAAGAAAATATAAAGAAGGAAAGTATTTTTACTAGAAATTTTATTTCTTAAACATTTTATCACAATAAAATTTATAGATCGTCCAACTGAACCGGTACATTTCGCAATTACCATATACCAGTGGCTGTGTATGTGAGTGGAGATGAGGCAGCATAAGTGGCAACTGGAGCAGCAGCGTAAGTCAATGGTGAAACAGCAGAATAAGTAGAGTGAACTACGGGACCAGAAACAGCATGTACGAATGGAGCAGCAGCAACAGAGTGGACGACTGGAGCAGCAGCAACTGAGTGTACGACTGGAGCAGCAGCAACTGAGTGTACAACTGGAGCAGCAGCAACGGAGTGTACAACTGGAGCAGCAGCAACGGAGTGTACAACTGGAGCAGCGGCAACGGAGTGTACAACTGGAGCAGCAGCAACGGAATGAACGACTGGAGCAGCAGCAACTGAGTGTACAACAGGCTCAGCAGCTACAGTTTTTACAACAGGAGCAGCAGCAACGGTGTGCACAACTGGTGCAGCAGCCACAGTGGTTTTCACAACAGGAGCAACAACATCTTCAACGACATGTGCGGAGCTGTGTACAATTGTTTGACTTTGATGGGAGACAGCAGTTGGAATGCTCTTTACAACAGCACCAACTTTAGCCAAAGCAGGTTCGTGTACGGCAACAGCTGCTGGTGCAGAGTAAACTACTGGTGACTCTACGAGACCGGGACGAGCAGCAGCTACGGCGAGCAAAGCAGACAATACCACCTGAAAATAAATGAAAAAATAACTTTGTTAAATATTTGCAACACAGTATTTCTTCATCTGCAAGCGAAGTATGTATATGCATTTTTTTAATCCTTTTAAGACCAGTAGCACTTAATACTTACCAACTTGAACATTTTGTTTGGTTGTTATGTTTTTTGTAGGTCTGTATTGACTGAGAATGTCTAAGAACTGATGTTTTTAGCCAGTTCAAGCTGTGCTTTTATACCAAATTGTCAAAAATCGATTTTAAATCAATTTCTTGTCACTTCCTCTGTCCAATGATCATAATTCTGCAATTGATATAAACCGGCCTTCTTGGCAAATTTACCTAAACAGTGACAAATAATCAATTATCAATTATAACTGAGCTCACTTGTAGGTGTTGTCAATTCGATTTGAATGACAGATTTGAAACCAGTAAAAATCTCGAAAATCTGTACTATTTTTGTCGCAAAAGATTTTACGCAAAACGAGTTTGCAATTAAGCCCAAAATTAAAAATTAATTTTGATTGTATATTTGTAATAGTAAAAATAATATTTAATTTTTAATGAAACACTTAGCCCCATAATACTTTGTATCTTTTTTAAATTAACACAATAATTTTTTAAAACCCTTCTCTCATTAAAGTTGTTAACCACACAATCATTAAGCGTTTTCGACCTATACATGCCCTTTCATGCTGCTCTTGCTTCAATTACATTAAAGTAATTAACTTCATCTTTAATGCACACAATTAATGCATTACTTGCATTACCTCGGCCCGGCTAATATTCATCAAGTATCTACGCTTAAGTATCTGTGCATATGAAAATCTTTCATGGTCAAACGCACAAATAACCCATGTTTTGTAGTATTTTCGGCTACTGTTGGTAAACATTACTGACTTTTATTGTTCGCTTGAAAATAAAAAAAAGCATTTAACTTTATGCAGTTCAGCTTAAAATCATTGAATTCAATATCATAAAAAAAACTAATGTTAAGTACATATGTTGGGCTATAAGTCAGGTCAAAATTTTTATTTAATTTTTATATAAAAGCAGCAACTTGAGTTAGTTTTGATATCAGTTAATTTTCTGCATTCTTACATTCAACACAGACCCACAAAAACAAATCCAAAACAAAATGTTCAAGTTGGTAAGTTTTAAACAAACGAAAAAACCGCAGAACTTCTTCACATCAAACATTGGCATAACAAACATTTACTTTTCAGGTGGTGTTGTCTGCTCTCCTAGCCGTAGCTGCTGCTCGTCCTGGTCTTATCGAATCCCCTGTAGTCTACAGTGCGCCTGCAACCACAATTGTGCACGAGCCTGCCTACGCTAAAGTTGGTGCTGTTGTGAAGAGCATTCCAACTGCTGTCTCACATCAAAGTCAATCAGTGATTCATAGCTCTGCACATGTTGTGGAAGATATAGTCGCACCAGTTGTCAAGACCGTTTATACTGCACCCGTTGTGAAGACAATTGCTGCTGCTCCCGTATTGCACACAAATTATATTGCTTCGCCAGTACTTAAAACCTATGCAGCACCAGTTGTACATTCCGTTCATTCTCCAGTATTGAAAACCATTGCTTCTCCTGTGGTCTACAATGCCTGGTAAAGTAGACTGGTCGTATAAAATGACGAATTGTTGGACGGTTCCAAATGTGATAAAAAAAATAAAATTCAAAATTTCTTTTAAAGACAAAGATTTATTTATTTATATTAATTAATTATTTATGTCAATTAATATTAAGTTATTTGAAGAGATGATTAGTTGCTGATAATACGACCTCAAGGACTCTTTTAAATCGCTCTGTACTGGGATATGCTTTCTAGTTCTACTTCTTCTTCTTATGTTTTACAAGATCTTGTGATCGGTATGACAAAATGATCGGTATTTTATGTAGTTATTTGGTCGTTTAAAAATATGCCCAATATCCAGTTTAAAAACATCCATTTCCATATCTTCCATTTTATTATAATTTCTGTATATAAAAAAGAATGAGGTAGTTTTTCAGCATTTTTTGTTTTTTTCCAATTGGTAAAAGACACCAAAATACATACAAAATTCAGCGACTTCTGTGGCTTGCTTATATCGTGCAAATGGAAGAAAGTGTTCCAGCTAGAAAGGTGTTTGATTCAGTACCTGTAGGTAGAAAACACTGTAGAGGACGTCCGCATCTTCGGTGGAAGAATCAGGGTTAACCAACGATAGGGCTTGCTGGCGATTGCTATTCTACGCGGTCAAGGACGACTCTCGTCTGTAATGACCAACTAGGAAGAGGAAAATACACCGAAATCTCTTATCTCTGAATGAGGTTTTAGGCTGCTAACAATACTTGCTAAGAATTAAGAATTCAATATAGTAATAATTCAAACAGTATTTTATTTAATTTTTTTTTTTCCAGCACGATTCATTTAAACTTCTCTCTATTAGGTGTTTCTGTACTTCTGCTTATTTTTTATTTTGTTTCTAAAAATCTGCAAAGTTTAACCTATATAACACCATAGGTATATGCTTGCTTGCACGTTCTAGGACAAAGTAAACCTATTTTATACTTAGTCAATTACTAAAAGTGCAGCAAATTTTTCTTCTAATGTATGATTTTATTATAATATGATTTCTGTATATGAAATATATTTAGATTTTCAATCAGTTATATTTTCCAAAACATCGAACGCACTAAAATCTCTGGATGGGACTAATGTCCAATAATAGCAGTTACTGTAACGACAAAAATCTTATAGTTGAATAAAATTAGTATTGAGCAAGCCGATATTTCCTTAAGTACTCGTAGTACAGCAAGGTTTATGTAATGGAAATTATGGAAGGGTGTGAAGAGAGAAAAATGAAGTTAGGTGTAACTTAAGAGCAAACTTTTTGACTGGACTTAAAAACGCTTAGTATAATAATAAGTTGAAGTTGATTAGAAATATATATAAATTACTTGCTTAAGTGATATGGAAATACTAACTCTAACTCTTAGGGAGTTATTTTATGGGTTCTTACGATCTACGAGTAATATATAATATATATATATAAGTTCTACTGGCAAAGGATCGGATTTAATTACGGATTACATTGAGAAAATATGGATTAAAGGAAGGTGAATTAACTGTTTATAATAAAGTATTTAACTTATATATTTATTATGGTTATTTGGAGAATATTTAGCTGTACACGTTTAAATTCTGCTCTTAAAGAACAGAATTATTGCATCTTATTGAAGCTAATTATGGAATAGATTAAAAAAATATAGATAAAAAAGAGAGATTAACTGTTTATAGTAAAGTATTTAAAATAAATACGTAATTGATTGCGCTTACGAGGAAAATATTTAGCGCTACATGTCTGAATTCTGCTCTTATAGGACCGGATGTTACATTTTAGTTAGGTAAACATAGCATTTAAGTTATACATTTAACTTATAACGTTTGTGAGGAAAAATTTAGCTATACTTTAGCTATATAAATGGAATGGTTTTCCAAGATAAGATAAAAACTTGTGTTTCGAAAAAAACATAACCCATAACGTATCTGCGCTTGAATAGCAGCATTGCAAATATGGGTATATAATTTAGTGGTACTCTGGAGTTGAACTTTTAGAGCTACTTAACACATCTTAAACCGTAAAGACAATGATAGTAATTTTGAAAGAGTTGAACTTGCTTTGCTATGTTCTGTGCTACGTAAACAGGAACGTAACAGTTCCAGTTACTGTAACATAATAGTTAATGAAACTATTAATTCAAAGCTCTTCTTTACATTTTATTATATTTAACTGTGTAAAAATTTATTGACATTACTTAGCACTAAGTCTCAGTTTCAGTAACGGATAAGCCTTAACTACAGTAACGAAGTATGGAAACGAAATTTCATGGTGAACACGCAAAATGCGTGAACCTGAACTTGAACCAAATAATGGTTGCGGACATGAACTGCCAATAAGACAAATGCGTGCGAACAACAATTTTTGCACAGCAAACATGGAACCAAGACAAATCGACGACGTTGTAATGTCGTTTACGTATTCACGGTCAAAATTTTGTAATAGAAAATTGCCATATCGCTACACTAAAGACAAAAAAAAGAAATAATAAAATCGAAATGAAATAAAGTAAAACTGACCACGCAATGGTCGCGATTTTAGTTGCCGACTTCATATGAATGAGCGGAGTCAGCCTGTAATAAAATTGCCTCAACGACCCACAATGCTGGTAACATGTTAACACAGTTAACAGCAACGGCGAAGCAAAGCCCGGCTTACTGCCTGCTTATAATGGGCTGTGCCAAGTCAACAACAGACACAGCAATAGACCAGCAACAATAATAACAGAGACTCGTGGAAGCATTAGTGCACTTTTATGAGATTTTCAGAGTAATTGCATGAGTTTTATGTGTGTTGGGCGGTTTTCTTGTTTTGAGGTGTTGTGTATAGTCCATTGGCTGTTGTTGTTGGAAAATTGAAAACGAAAGTGATTTTACATGCCGGCAACAACAGCAGCAACAACAGCAGCAACAACAACAATAAAGCAGTACTCAGCTTAGTCAACTTTGAGCCCCAGTTCAGTTTATATTTCGGTCAAAAAATATGTCGGTGTTTTTCTTCAAACGATTTTTATTTGTTTTTATTCTGTTAAGTTTTGCATTAATTTTTTTCTAGTTTCAGTTTTTGTAGTTGGAGTTTAACAGTTTAGTTTAGTATAAAAGACGCTGCAGTATTGCAATAAAGCAAACAGTTTTCTTTGTGATTCAAACAGCACAGACCTTCTTAACTTAAAACAAAAAACCAAATTAACTACAAAATGTTTAAGTTGGTAAGTTCACTGTGTTTTCACTGTGTTTTATACTAGAATCCTTTAATTGTAAGAGTCCTTTATGTTTCATTTCTAGGTGGTGTTGTCTGCTTTGCTTGCCGTAGCTGCTGCTTATCCTGGTTACTTGGAACATGCTCCAGCACATGTAGTTGTTGCTCCTGCTACAACTATTGTACATGAACCCGCCTTGGCCAAAGTAGGTGCTATTGTTAAGAGCATACCCACCGCTGTATCACACCAAAGTCAATCTATTGTGCATAGCTCCGCTCATGTAGTCCAACCTATTGTTGCTCCAATTGTCAAAACTACTTTAGTTCAATCTGCACCTGTGATTAAGGCAATTGCCGCTCCAGCTTTAACAACTGCTTATGC